TAATGCATGAAAATCCTAACCTCAAAAAAATCACCCGTTACATATACAAATACTCGAAGTGTGCGTATATATGCTACCATATGGGAGAATGTGAGCTATGTATGTATGGTTGTGATGAAAAATGTTTTTAATTTTTCAAAGTGGTTCTATTGTCAGCCGTGCGTAACAGTAACAAAAAGATGACAGCATCAGTGGTTTCGTTAGGGTTTTGAGGGATGTTAATGACATATGTACATTACATGCGTTTAAAGTTTATTAGCCTTTTTTAATATAAGCTGGAAAATATACTACATATAATCACATCTCATCGGGTCTTATCAGCAAAATTGGAAAATCTTCGCATTAAAACTAAAAAAGATTATCCAACAGAGGCAAATTTTAGAAACAGCTTATGCAGGTAACAATTGATTAACTATCGAATTAAAGCTTAGGTTGATCTGAACATCCGAGTAGCCGAGTGATTGGAGTTGCTTTATATCCCTCGATCGGGCCTCAGTTTAAGTAAGTTAATACATTACCCCAAAAAATTAGTGGGAACAAAAAAACAGATTTTTCGATGGTTTTTTGCAGGCCGTATTTCGGTAAAAAATGGTCGTATTTAGACTTTAAAAAATCCTTTCAAGCTCTAGGATTCTTATTTTTCTTTGCTAAAATTTTTTATGAGTTAAGGTTTTCATGTAATCCTGGCAGATACGCGAAAAAATAATTTTGCAAATTTTTAGATTTTTTTGGATAATGCGATTGAAAAACATTTATGCCGGCATATAGAACAGATAGCCCTTTATTTAGCTTTAATTCCCTATTTTTGAAACCCCTATTGATTTCGTTGATTGGTTTATAGTGCTCTTCACGCACTGCTGTACTTACCGTCACTTTATGTCTTCATACGTAGGGAAGCCGTAAAGGCCCCTGCAGACTAAAAAGAAGAATAAGACCAAGTAGGGCGAGGCGGTAGGTACTTGTGTCTTTTCAATGCTACAGGATAGTACGCCACCATTACCTTTGCTGAAGTGATTCTATAATGCTGAGTTCCCTGAGGCTGAATGCTGGTTTAGTTCCAGCACTGAGCCCGGACTCACACATTGTCGAATTTTCACTGATGGCTCCAAAACTGATTCTGGGTCAAGATCTGCAGTGATAACCAAGCTGCACTTAAGGAATTGCCCAGCCCTCTATCTATGTAAGTATTACCATATATTATTTCTATCTAGTTGTTTGCGCTCACTGAGCAGACGGGACTGCAGAAAACTTTTTGCAGTGCTGACTGGTAACTTCACGTGGTACAAACAACCGACTGTGATAGGCGTACATGAACAACTTCATTTGCCCATACTGCCTTAAAGGGGATGAGAAGGTGGAACACTTTCTTGCTTGGTTGTTTGTCATAGATTTTTCTAGATTTGGTATTCGGTTTTGTTGTTTCAAGTTTTGTGTTTTAAAAACTACTAAGTTTGGGAAGCTCCGCTCTAAATCTATAACAGTTACATCAGCCAAACTTACACTACTGAGCCAAAACTTCAGCCACTGTGTTAGTCCACCGCAAGATATTTCTTCACTGATAAATTGGTGTATTTGCAACGATATTACCTTGAACTTCTCAAAGTGTAACATTATTATATTTTCTGCAGTTTATATACGTTCTCTGCCCAAAGTCCTAAGATTTTAAATATACATACATACATAAATATTTTCCAAGAAGGGATGTGCAACTAAGAATTTATTTGGCTTTAAGCTCGTAAAACAAAAGTGGAGCCTCTTTAATAGATAAAATAAAATTATATTCAAAGTTTTTGCAATAATAAAATTTGATTTTTCCACAATATCCTCATATCCTAAAAAAGATACATATGTACGCGCATATGTGGATGCGGCCACTAGAACCAGTTAATTTCTCGGTCTCGTGATTATACAAACAAACATATTTACGTATGTACATTAGGGTGTTTTTTTTCTGCGACATTTTGTTTTATATTCTCAGCCAATACATACCTAAAAAGATATTCCTGAAACTTCCTTGAAATTTATTATGAATACTAAATGCTCATTCAAGGTGTGCAAAGATTTCCCGTTCAAAATAGACGTAAACTTTGAGTTTTTTCTTCAAAAGTCTACAGCCCAGAGATATTTTATGGTATAATCTCGGTCATAGACGGGGTTTCTTCAAAATTGAATGCCCTTTTCCATTGCCCTACCCTAACTCAAAGCAGCCCTAACTCAAACCAGCGAGGTAGTACGGGTCACTAAAACCAATTTTTTCATGAAATTCTCGTTCTTTCGCCTCTATCTCGTAAATAAAAAGAGCAACAAAAAATTTAAATTAGAAAACTGTAGGAAATTCAATATTCTACGAAAAACACCAGAGGTCCATCAACAAATTTCTACAATTAAGCTTAATAATCCATGGAAATTCCACACTACCTCAATTTGAAAGCCCAATATCTCAAGAAATATCGATGTTAGCGTTTTGGTGTTTTTGAACATTTTTTAAGGAAATTGAATTTCCTTCAAGTTTCTCATTTGCAATTTTTCTTTAGCCCTAGTTGTTTACGAGATAGGGGCAAGCAAACAATTTTATGAAAATATAGGGTTCAGTGACACGTATTGCCTCGCTGGTTGGGAGTTAAGGTTGCGCCATAATGGACGCTTCTGTAGAGCATTAAATTCTGAAGAAACTCCATCATTGACCAAGATATAAAAATAAAATAATAAAATGTCTCTGAGCTGTAGACTTTTGAAGAAAACAACTCAAAGTTTATGTGTATTTTGCACCAGAAGTCTTTACACAAAAATTTCGAGGTGGGTGTGCAATAGAAAAATAGTCGCCGAAAAAAAGCACCCTAATGTACACATATAAAATTCCATCTTTATATGTATGTATGCACTTTTTATGTGCATCCGTTTGTGTTTATACCTTTTGCGGTTGCTGTTATAGTTGCAGCATCAGCATATTGCAACAAATGCCGAAAGGGCGCGCCTAGATTTATGTATGCGGGTATACTTATGTATGTGCATATACACATGAATACTTAAAATCTAAGGAAATTTTATTTATACATACACCTACATACATATATATATTTGCATATATATATATTTTTGCAACATATTTTTGTATCGCTCACAAGCGTAGATACTTACATGCCAGCATACTCTTCTGGGTATGGTATGATGTATCCTTCGGGACTGGGACGTGGAGTTTTACCAACCCAGAAGAATGCATCCGGTCCCGTGCCGTCGTATGCAAAGGATTTGATGAAGAGCGTCGATTCGTCGACTGCATAAATGGTACCCTAAGGGACAGAAGATATTTAAGTGTTATTAGAATGTAGAGTGAGTTATATTTTTTAATCAAAATTATTTACATACATGCATACATACATATAATAAAATAACCTAAATACAACTGGGAATAATTAGTTGACACCAATTAATGGAGTTGATTGGTTATGCCCTAAATTTATTAATAAGTTTCCACAATTTTTGCAGCAATAATGGTAAGCGACACCTAAATACATACTTTTCTGGTCGTCGCATCGGTCCTTCATTTCATGTTCAAAGTAATTTTATTTTGGCTGAAAAATGTCTTTCCCATCCGTTCGAGTTTGAAAAAGCTTTTCGAGCCGATGTAGACTAAAGAATGCTCTTCGCGCGACTTCGTCTGATAACGGAGCATTATATATCTGTTATTTTTCAATGGAATAACTCCTAAAGTCAAGCTACTATCGGCAAAGATCAACTACCAGCTAATTACGATTCCGGTTTTAGGGCATTTCTTAAAAAAAAAAATTAAGACTAATTTTCAGAAAATATCGCCAAAATCTTAAACTGAGGATATCAAAATGAAATCAGAATTCCATATGTATAAAAAATCACCACTATTCAGACATCTGGCAGCACTTGCTGGGATTTCTATTTGACTTTAACATCAAATGTGGAAAATTTTTTCTCTTAGCTTAATTTAAGTAACAAAATAAATTAACAATCTGGAAACCACGTCTTTTAACGATATTCTTTTCATAAAAGATTACTTAAACAGAAGCGAAGTTGAATGCCGCGATATTGACTCAAACGAAAACAAAGATTTCTTTTAAAAGAAAATTTTTACGCTTTGAAAGACATTCAAATTTCAGGACTTTCTTGCCTGCTTTCTGTCGTCTTCAATGTCGATTGTTTAACCTCTTAGATGGCAAACCATAAAACACTTGAAACATTTTATTTTAATGTAAACGTGGAAAAGTAATTAGGATCCCTCCTCTTCTGATTTTGATTTTAATATTTTTTTTTTNAAAAGGATATTCAAATGAATCCTTTAAATAAACTTCAATTGCTTATGCGAGTGTATGTATGCATGTAAGCATTTACATATGCATGTGTAGTAGTGAGATCCTGCACAAGGGTAGCCATAGCAGGCAAACGGTTTGCAGTCATGTCACTGTGTGTATGAAAAAATAGCAAATTTCAGGATTTCAACATTTTCCGCGTGTGTATGTATTATGTATATTTAAGTCAGTTGTTTAGGATCTATGAATGCTACTAATTTGGTCTTTATGGTTGTGTAGCACATAATTATTTAGCTCTATATTTAACAAAATAAAAGAAAACGACCGAGTTGCATTGCCATTAAATATACATACGCAATTAAAGAGAATGACGCTATGTGACAAAAGTGGAAGTTGATTTTTTCTTTTCTTACAAAATCGCAAAACTCTGAAAATTGTCGATGTGACGTGGCGTGATGTGACATAAATTTCCTATTAGATACACGTCAGAAATTATTTTCAAAATTTTCTTTTTTTTTTCTTATTTTAAAATTAGCTCTATATCGAGTATATGTATTTTATATATTGACTTCAGCGCCGATTCGATTTAAATTTTTTGGAAATCCACGACTTATTATGTTTCAACTACATACATATGTATGTACGCCAAATTCGAACCAAATCGGACCATAAATACGGTTTTTCCAAAATATCTCCGCCACCTAAAGGGATAATTTTTCGCAAAAGTGTTTCTGCCTACATAGGAGTATATTCTGCAAAAAGCAGACAAAATGGTCCATAAATACGTTAGATATATTACCTTTATTTTGTTTTCGATAGACTTTCCATTGGAAACGCCGTTATGTAGATGCTTATTTTAAATGCTACTTAAACATTTTTTTTTTAACTAACAATTGACGATCTTTTTGCCAACAGAAAAGTACCTAATACTTACAAGTACTGCACCAAACTCATTCATGGATTTCTAGAAAAGTGTAACTTGTTAACTTAAAAGATATCCCCACACCCCTGACAAGTTTTTTTATATCCCAAATTCTACTGTGGGTCAGAAATCTATTTATTTATAATCTTACTGAACCATAAATATATTATAACTGGTTTTCCGAGCTTTTAAAAGACCTCTCAATATTCGAGATATTTGATATTTATCGTTATACAGCTAAAAAAAAAGTTGCTCCACTTAAGAATTTTTTTCATTAAAAAAATCTGAAATTAATTAATTTCTCAGAAACTGTCAGGCCTATCGAAAAGTGATGTACATACATATATGCGGTTTATGGAGACTTTTTTTTTGGCTTTCATATGCCGCACCTCGTATTAAAACTGTCAAATTGGTCCGTAAGCTATACGTAATTTTTTAAATCTGAATAACGGTATACCTAAAATGTATCGAAGCACTTTAACTAAATTTTTTCAATGGCGATGGGAAATATATATAGCTTTTCCAAAATTTTCCAAAATTCGCAATAATTCACAAACAAGAACGAATCTAAAGTCAGTATTGTAAGTATACTCCAAAAATAGCCGTAAATAATTTTGCGAACCTAGTTTGTTCTCAGGGCTGTCAGTTATCCGGTTTTTGACCGGTTAGTTCATTTTTTTATTCTGTTTTGAGAGGACAGTGTCCAATTGTAGGTTAAATATCGCATCCTGTCGTAAAAGTTGATGTAGATTTAATTAATTTAATTATATTTTAAATTTGAACTCACCCTTATCCCGTGTGCAAAATTGGTAAATTGTCCGATATAGCGACCGTAGTAGGGCTCTGGTGGTGCGCGCCCTGAAGCTGCAATAACAAGAAAAAAATCAAGTTATATCAAATATTTCTCAAAACATCATTTAAGAGTTGAAATTTAATATAAAATGAGTACCTGCAAATAATTGTCTTTCAAATCAAAACATTTATTAGGCTCTGCCAAAGTATTTCCATGCATACTTATGTATGTATGTATGTGTGAGTGTGTCTAAGTATGCAGAATTCTTACTTTCCAAGTAGTTTTTAAGGCCTAGCGGTGACAAAAACGGCATTTATTTTCAGATTAAATGTGAAACAAAGGTAAAGCCGATTGTTGCATATTTACTACAACAACAAATAATAACAACGCTACAAAGCATTAGCAACAAAGCAAAAGCAAAGCTCTAAAACAACAAAAAAGAAAATGAAAAATAAAATAGTATTAAATGTGAGCAACCAAAACACAAACAAATCTCTCAGAGTTTCGATAAAAACTTTGCTCATTTTCTTCGTTTTACATGCTTTGCAAATTAAATTCGCCTTTTGTCTTCACAAAGCAGATACTTTTTGATTTCTATGGAGAAAAAGCTCTTTGCTGCAACTGTGTTGCATTTTGAAACGACATTTGATTAAATTAAGTTTCAAAGGCGTGGGCTTTGTCGGAGGAATGAAAGCTTTTCGTGACAAAAATTTTTATCGCAAATTTTTTCTTAAAAATGGGTCTGAAAGAAATGAAAGTAGATGTAAAAGTTTTGCATAAGAACTTTTCAATATTTCTGCGAAATTATCATTTGTCTGAACGGTAATTACTAGGTATTTAATCGATAAAGCGCCACGATGTTGTGAAGACGACTACTTGAATCCACCGAGGCTATGATCTCGCAAAAGTTGGGCTGCCTGGTAGAAAGTATTGGGGTGATCCTCCTACCTCATCATTCCCCAGGCAGCTGCTCCCTCGATCGCCCCCTGCGCGGTGAGTCCGAGAAGACGATTAAACGGCGTGCGGGCGCGCCTCTGACCAGCTCAATGTCATCTCAGGGGACGTACCAATATACATATATGTATAAGCGTAACTGGAAAATACATATTCCTGCGAAGTTGAGAAGAAAATCTGGCGCTATCTGGCCAAGTTTGAGTTTGTTTGAAATTTTAAACTATTCGGGTACTTTTTTAAAAGCTTTAATGCAGATCTTTCAAGCGCTTATTTTTTTAATGTCTAGGGTTATTTATTGAAAAAAAGCTCGAAATGTAAGTTCCTTTTCATGAAAAACTGAACTATCAGAACTACTACTAACTACCAACATTTTCCCAATGATCACTTGTTGAGCTGAAGTGATTCAAAGGGATGCGAGATTGATGGCGCAACAGGCAAAATTGGGCAAAATAGCCCTTAAATCTGTATAATATCCCTTTGAGCAAGTTATTCTTGGCTTATTTAAGTTCTTCAAAAATTATTTTATCCACAGTGACCCACTGTACATCTGTACCTCTGGCACATGTGGATCTCATACACACAAACATTAGCACATATCGTACCCTAAATCGAAAACAGTCACAAGTCAAAAAATCTCAAATTTTCAGGAGAAGCAAAAAACAAAAGCAGTCTTAATAGTATTTACCAGTTAAAGAAGAGGGTGATGAAGAATAAATTTTGGTGGACGTTAAATATACGGTGGCAAGAATGTAAATAGGGAGAACAAATTTTAGCAACCTTGGGCCACTTTTCTTAGTTTATTCTTTTTTTATAAAAAATATAGCTTAGTATCTAAACAAAAACAATAAAGTGCAAGTTTGCAGTAGCTAGGACTTACCGTTGATTTTTGACAATTTTTTGGTCGGGCATCTTCTTATTCCATACAAAGTATGCTCGACAATTTTATTGCATGGAGAAAATGAGCAACACCTTCCACCAAAAAAAAAATTGCCAAAAATAATAAACATTAAATACTCGAAAGGCAAAGAGCTCTTTTATGGCAAAAAAAATTGAAAAATTTTGAGTTGTGACTCTTTTTGATTTAGGGTGCGATATGAACATTGTACATATGTATATACCTTCGGCAGGTAAATGCAAAAGTCTCGTACAATAGCATGTGATAATTCCTTTCATTTGCATTTGGCGGCATCGTCAATGCAATTTTAATGATCTTTTAATGAAGTGAATTTTCCATACACAAAAGTGATTTCCAGAAACCTTAGCAAGCGTTTTAATGAATATACATATAAATGTGTGTACGCATGTGTTACTCGTGCCAGTATGTAATGTATAGTTGCCATTATAATTAAGGTGCATAAATATTTCATCTAAAATACGTATGTACCCACATACATACCCTGCAGCAATAGGGTGGCCAATTTTCCGTAAAGGACTAGTACTTCACTGGTTAAAATTTGACTGGTCAGAATTGGACATTTGGTTGCATCGAAAATGTCAGCCTTCGACCAGTCCCCAAAGAATCGGTCTAGAGATAGACGAAAAGTACAGTTTGGAAATGAAAGGGTGGTGTTGTCTTGCAATTCAACAAAAATAAAATTTTGAAGAACACCACCCTGTAAATACCCCAATCGCTACGTCTGGCCTTGATTCAAAGTAAACATTTGAGCACACATTAACATGTCTGGCTGTAGCTCAGTGCGCAGTGATGCTTGCCACTATTTGCTAGCTTTCAGGAGGGTCTGGGTTCAAATGCCGTCTGAAGCAGCATGGTGGTAAATGATAAAATAGTTTTTTTTTGTGTTTCCGAAATATGAAAAAGCATCTGTGAAGTGCAGAACGTAATCGTGTACCAACGAAAAAAATCGCCAAAATTGGACTAGTCCAGGACTAACTTACGGTCACTGTTGAGTGGACCGGTCCTTTTCCAATGACACGACAATACTAAAAATGCCAGTTGAAACCATATTGGCAGGGGAATTATGAGGGACAAGGGCTGCTTACAATAGGGACTATCTGATGGCTAACCTAGGGTGAGTCTGAATTGCTGCAGGGTATGTATATATTATGTAGGCATAATCTTTGAATCATATATCTACACGTAGTATCACATGAGGCGAAAGAATCGCATTTGATTAATAACACACATATGTACATATGTACATATTTATGCATCTGCTTGAAGTGAGAGGTATGTCACATCATGTACAGTAAAACCTCGATACGAACTAACCTCGATAAAATGAAAAACTCCATTAAACCCAATTTTTGCTGAGTCCCCTTAAAAAGGATCGATGTTGCGAAATTTTCCATACAAAAATGCTCCACACATACACCGAAGGAATTCCAATCACGAAAACCTTCGGAACTTATTGACAGTAAAAGTCCCTTACATAACCAGTTAGAGTACTGCTCTAAACAAAAAACGAAACTATAATATCATGATTTTTTTTAGTTTTTAATTTTTCGTTGTATCGAGGTTTTTATATTCTCTAAATATAACGATAGTATAGATATGTATAACGAAGTATTTGTTCAACCCCTTCCACATCGTTATATCAATGTTTCACTGTACCTGTATAGTTTCGTTAATTGCAGACAAATTATTAGCCTTTTCTCATCATCAGTTGGCGTAGGTACATTCACACGTTCATATGTACATACCTACCTATGTGGTAAACCCCATACTTACGGTACTATGTACGACCTGGGTGCGCTTGGACTTGACTCGAAGCTTTACTTGGCTTATGATTGAGCAAAGTTGGTATTTGTTCGCAATTTTTTTAACATCGAATTACTCATTACGTTCTAGAAATTACCATTGGAGTATATGTGTCTATAAGTATAAATAAATATGTAAGTATGTATTTTGGTACTTAATATGAACAAATGTATAGAAAATTTGCCATTTTCGATCTCGCGGTGTAGCCTCAAAAGTACGACGCAAAAATTTATTTATTTTTTCCTCGAAAAATCTAATTAAATTTTAATGATCTAGGTACAAGATGTTAGGTGACTTTCAAAAAGTCTAGTAATAAAAAATTAAATTGAATGTGCACACATACATACACATTAGGGTGGTCCAAAATGCATGTAAAAAAAAGTAAAGTCGGAATTTTAATGCCGCCACCCCCTGGTTGATTTTCCCCCATATAAAATATATGGAAAATTTTGAATGTTTTGAGCGACCTCTAAATACTTTTTGATTTCAAAATAAAAAATAGGGGTATATTTTTCTCGATATCCAACAATCCTAGGGGATGGAAGCATTAAAATTCCGACTTTAATTATTTTGGATCACCCTCTAATATACATACACACATATCCACTCTTTCAAAATCACTTCACGTCATTTTTTATGCACATGGTATAAAAATTTTAATTGCTAACACCAATTTAACCCTTTTTTGTAGAGAAGTGCTTGATAATGCTAAATATCTACTGTCAATCAAATCTAACAATTTGAGATTCCCAAGTTTATTGCCACATGCTAAATGGTATGCTTGAACGTTTCAATAATATTTTTGTAGCCAAGTGCAATGTATGACGTAGATACTTTTGTTTTTAATAACACTGTTTCATATATAGTTGGATTTTCTGCACCTCATTACATTTTTTTTTTAAGTGGGTTATGAAACTTGCAAGATGGCCTGGCTCCGCCCATTTATGATGAAATGTTGTATCTCAGTATCCGCTTCACAAACGCCTACCAAACTCGGCAACTATGGTCATTTACCGAAATACGAAAACTGTGATAAATCACTGCCGGGGCTAATCATTCAATAAATTAGATTATCCCAAATTTATGGAAAATGGGCGTGGCACCGCTCACTTATTATGACATCGTACATATGTATGTATGTGTATCTCGGTAACCGATTTATCAATTTCTACCAGACTCGGTACAGGTATTGCAAAAATGCTAAATTCCTGATATCAAACCCCACCCACAATTAATCCACTTCCCATATAACAGCAAATTTAAGATAAGCGAAAACCCCGAAATTTTAATAATTGCATATGTGTAAGCGATTATAAAGCTCGATTTCGCCCCAATTTAGATATACTTCTTTGATTGATTTGTATATTATATTGATATATTGATATTTATCGCTGCCATCTCTATAAGAAATGACAACACTCAATTGTCATTCAAATAAATTCTTTAAAAAGTTTATGGTGAAACACAGAAGTGCTTAAAGTTCGAACGATTTTGTGAATATTGAAAAACAGCAGTATCGCCAGCAGTATGCCCTGCGAATCCTGAACAAAATTTTATTCATGAATATATACATACGTACATTTTTAAGTACCTATGTATATATGTATGTACATTTGTTTTTGTGCTGTTGAAATGGACATCAAGAACTACTTTAAAATAACAGCCGTAACAAAATATGAATACAATAAAAGCAGCTTTTAAGAATTGCAAATGTTTCGCATTATTTGTGCCACGATTCGACACAAGGATTCTGCACACATTTATATAAATACATGTGCATATTTATGTGTGCCTGCAAGCATAAACATATGCAATTGATATGAAACCAAAGTTTTTTTTTTTAGATTGGGCCCTGGTGGCGATGGAAATGGTAGTGGTAATGGTAACGGTAATAGCAGCGCAGTATCACTTTAACCAGCGCATTGACTGCGTGAAAGTTGGTGGTATTGACACAATAAGCACGAGCTTTTCTTTCCTGTTTTGTTTTGTTTTTTTGTAAGCGGAGGGGTGGGTGCCTTCGATGGCAAAGTGCTGATGCTGCATTCATCGCGAAAACGTTGAGGTATTCCCCAAAATGTCTCAATCACAGCGAGGCTTTTAAACGACGGGCGATTGCGGTGAGCACTCACTCTGTTGCTTTTACCGGTGGTGTCTAGCAAGCCTACGCAAGCACAATACATACATACCCTGTAGAAAAAAATTATCAATTGATAAAAAATAACCCACTTGTTGTTAGCTTTTTTGCCGGATTTCTATAAAGTATATAACTTGTATTTGAGCTACAAAAAGCTAACTTGAACAAGTGACAAGTAATGCAGGAGTAAGAAGTGAGATTGTTTTCGTTAAACGCGTTTCTATTCAAATATCTTGCACTTCGCAAATACTTTTTCTGAATGGAGGACAAATAAAAGGAATATCAAAATTTCATATTATCATTTTGAAGTTATGCTGACGAGAGTCGAATATGGGACCACCTACAGCGGAATATGGAAACAAATATGAAATGTAATAAATTAAATAAAGTAAAAAAAAATAAATAAAAAAAATAAAATATTTTGTTTCTCTATTAGATTTTTTATGTCCAAAAGTAGTTAGTTACAAGTTAGTTACATCAAATTGACTATTTCGCGGTCATCGTCATAGATATATAGTTAGCATTCGTCAAAGAAAATATACAGATCCTAATCAACTTAAAGTTTGGGTTATAGTTAGATATATTTCCTGCAGGGTATGTATATAAATAATGGCACGCCCACATGCACCCGCCCAATTGAATGTACTTGTGTGTATGTATGTTGGTCCTTTGTGGTTATATATGTATGTTGATTTTCGCATATATATATATATATATATGTATATATATATGATACATATTCTCGTCACCGTTGACGATATAGCTCGATATCCATAATATGCATTAAATCTACTAATGCGTACATTAATCTCTCTGTGTGCCGCAGCCTCAATTGAGTTGATTCAGTTTGGTTCGGTTTGTTGTTGGCGCTTCCTTTATTTCACCTCGCTTCACTTCACTTCACTTCTTCTTCACAGTATTACATACATATATATTGTGCATACTTAAGGACTGCGTTCGGTGGTTTGCCAGGACGCATATGAAACACGTGTCTGTACGTGCCGTTCGTGCTCGAGGATATTTACTCAGCAGCACAACATAAACACACAAACAACACAACAAACAAGTGTGCGATATTAAGAGTAGCAAAAGCTATAATAACAACAAGAGCTATAACAACAGCAACAACAGTGATGACGAATGAAGGAACAAAGTAATAGTAACAAAGCGTACAACCATAACAACACAAAAGTAGTACGATGACAGTGATGAGGATGAGCGAAGGAGGTGGAGGAGAATGCGAATGAGACAGCAAGAATGAGGTGAAGAGACATGTACGACTTTGGCGGGTGATCAATTTCGATTTTCTTGCGTGCAGGAAAGTGAATGGAGTGATGTTTGTTTTTTTTTTCATTTACCTAACCAAGAAAAATTTTTATGCTCCCGATTGCTGGTTAGTACCGTACGTTTTTTGCTATTAAAAACGTAAAGCTCCGTAGCAGGCTCTCTCGAACACATCACCAAATCAAAGATCCAATTAGAATTAAATAATTAGATAAAGCTGACGATACTGATTACACCGATATCGGTAATTATAATGATACAGGAAAAAATGTGATTCCTATAACAATATCGATATAACGATAACAATTTCGTTGACGACTATATTAACAAAGCATCGGATATAACATATTTATCTACGTAATTCTACCTAAAAATAAAAATATCGAGTTACAGTAAAAATATCGCCAACGATTGCAATATCAAGTGCCAAATCATCGATAAGATATCAAACGCAGAGAGGATGAAATAACAACGCGCTAACAATGACAATAACGTCGCTAACAATGACAATAACAATTTCATTAGCGCTAGAATATCGATAACAATATTGATATGAATAGCGAAAAAAATATCGATTTCAACAATGCTAACGGCATTACGATTATATCGTCGTTTAAAGTATAAAACCGCGTAACTGACATTTTTTGCCAAAAATTGCATTATATACCGAAGGTATTAGAAAGCTCTGCTGTAGATGCCTCTTTCTTCTTTATTTATGTTTTTTTTTGCAACAATATAAATATGTACATACATTATTTAAAATGGGGAAAGTATATTTGCAATGCATACTTTCGGGCGCAACACCCTACTTACGGAACGTCCTTACTTCGAATCAATCTTATTACTTTTATACTTTTACATTTATTAAGATAATTCTTCCTTATAAAAATTTCTGCTGCCTTTATTCTCCTTTCATTTTTTTTTCATCTTTCCCTTTCATTATTTCTCTTATTTTATTTTATTCAATTAATCGCATTATCAGCTTATGATATTCACTAATAATCCCGGTGGAGACAATATAATCTCACATAATTTACCGGTAACCATGGTTATGTCGTTATCCTTCAATATAGTCATTGCGCTTTACTTAGCTTCAGTTTGCAAGCTGCCCGCACAACCCTTTTACGGCTTCTGGCATGCACTCTTTTCCACTTCCAGCTTCCTAGCTACCATGAATACATACATACATACATACGAGTATGCATACGCCACTCGAGCAACCACTTGTGAGTCTTCAGTAGATATTAACGCCTTCAACGCATCATCCCATAAGGGGGTGGATTTCCTGTAGATACGCATTTACGCAAATGAGTATTGAGATACAAGTTATATGTATATCTGATAAAGAAAGCGCTTTCAATCACACTAGCGATGCACATACTTATACATATATGCAAACATATCCATATACATATACATATACATATCTGTTTAGGTCCTGCAGTAGTGTGACACCAGTACGAATCATCTGTCGCTTTGTAAGTCGGTTGGTTATTTGTTTAACTTCAACTTTCGCTTTATGTTCTATTTGGTATGTGAGTGTTTAAGTATGTACTATGTACATACATATATTACTACCGAATACTATAGCAAGTACCTCAGCAAACATAGAGCATAAATTGGTATTTTCATGGTACTCTGTTGCTTAAACAGTGATTCGCTTAATATTTGTACTCAAAGTAAGCTTTGATGGATGGAAAAATAATTGAGTTCTTCGACGTCAAACAAGCTGACTTTGTGAAGTGCATTATTATGGGGAGAGTGAGCAAGGAGTGGGAGAAGGAAGCATAAAATTTCAATAAAAAGGAATATTAATTTATGTAAGTAGAAGGTGGTGCAGTTATCAAGATTTATAACGAGGAAGAAACAAGTATTCCTGTCTGTAATATTGAGAAACAGAGTTTGCACTTTCATATATCGGAAAATTCAGCAATAAGCACACCCACCTCCCGTATTAAGGCAGCTTTGACAAATGTATAGTTGCGAGATGTTGGGACGAAACAAAGCTAATACAAACATTTTCAAAATAAAAAAAAACAGATCTCATTTCAAATAGACCTGCCACTCAAAAAATATATCCTACCCAAGGCATATCGAACAGATAATAGCAGTATAGCACCTGATTTAATTAATTTATTTTTTTTCAAATTATTTAGTCTCTAAATGTCAAATCTTTCTAATTTCTTTTTACAAAAATTCCAAATTGTCAAAATCGATTTGCATGTTAAACAGGAGGCAAACAAATTTACCATATTATTTTATTTAAAATTTTCTTCTTTAAATTTTTGCTGGTATTTCACATAGCACACTTTGATGCTAAAAAAATCAGAATACTTTTTTGACACTTTAGAGACCAAAACCAACAAAAAAAAATACACGTAAATATTGTTTTTGCTCTAACGCTACTACATACCTGGTTTCATATGCCTTGATCTTGAAAGATTCTAAGTACTTAAATGACTATGGAATCGGGCATACTTATTATTATGAACTACTTACATGCATATATACCCTGCAGGAAACTTAATTAATTTAAAAGTTTTTTATAAACTACTTTATTTTCAATGGTAACTAATTGAAATTCTCACTATTTTACCTGCAACGAACTCATTTATTTAATATAGCGATGTCCTAGGAAGCAGTCAATTACCTTTTCCTGCATGTATTTTCAGCTAAATTAAAATGCATTTGGATTAAAGAACTTTAGTATCAGTCGTTTGATTTAGCTTTCGTTCTGCACTTCACAGATGCTTTTTTCATAATAAAGGAAACCCGAAATTAAATATTCAAAATTAAATGTTTCGCCTAATAAGATTTGAACATGGACACTCATGGCCGCAAGCAATTGTAGCACACATCTTTGCACGCTCAGCCACAGCCATACATGTAAATTTGCCTTCAAATGTTCAGTTTAAATTGTGTGCAATCAGCAACATGCGTTTAAACAACTTCAAAGTCAGTATGTTTCTTTTTAAAACGCTTGCATTCTGCACTTCGCAGATGCTTTTTCATACTTCCCAGACACACATTGTTTCTTTCAGTAAAAAAGTATCGAAATTTGAAACATTACTCATTGCATTTGTTTTAATTAAAGACGTTTTTTTTTTGGCCGAAATTACGATTTTTTCAGGGTAAAATGATGATTTTTCAGAAAAAGTTTTCGGCAACGCTGCCTCTGGTGCTTAATTGATCTGTTTCCTGTATCTGATCCCTTCTGGTAATCATTCGTCTTCATCAGTAGTCAGTTTTGTCATTCGATTATTAGAGTGCAATGATTTGCATATGCATTCCGTTGCAAGTAAGAGACCATCTAAGTAACAAGGACAAGGTTACTATAGACATATCCAGTTTTGTAGTATCACCGGCGTTATGTACATAAAAGTACACTAATCATTTAAATTTATTCACAATGTCGGGACGGCGCGAACGCCATTCCCGGCTATCAAAAATTACACGCACGAGTTATTCACATTAGGAATAATCGCGAAGGTCAACCCAATCGAACGTGCAATGATCAGGTCTCGCTCCGGAGGAACCGCCTTCATGATCACGGTTTACCTCTACGCCAGGTAAGTATGCTTTATACCGCTCAAAACAAACTACTTGTCACTAGTTTTATACAAGTTGGTTGAGAATTTCTCAAAGATATGATTGAATAGAACCTGTATAACAAAAATGCATGGCGAAAAAATTAAAAATCGCCAGGTAAAAGTGCATACAAGAAAAATGCATACAACCCCAACGTGCATGCTTCTATGCATACACATAACATGTACATTAGGGTGGTCTTAAATGGAGGAAGCAAATTTTTACATCAGATTTCCGAAGCCTCAATTACTACGTCGAAGATATCGCTATAAATATAAGGCGGGTCGCACAGTGGTCAAACTTCAGATTATCCTATGAAACGTGACCAAAATTTATATGTGATATCTTTGACTTTGGTACTATCGATTTGGGGTATTAAATGAAAAAATATTTTTAATTTTTTGAATCTCCATAGAAACATCTGGGCTTTGCGATGCGCCTTAACCGACTACAATCGGGACCAAAATTTTTATGTGATATCTATGATCGTGGCATTACCGATTTACAGGCTAATCTAATATTCGCGGCTTGCGTTTTGGTACGCATGCCGTCGAATTTGTTTTTTTTGCGTCACCCGAAATTGACTTGCATGCGTTTGCATTTGATTTCATTGAGCGAAACGTCAAATCAAAATGTCACGCAGAACAAAAATTGGAAATTGAGTTAGCTTCATACGCACGCCGTTCAATTTCGGTTGATCTCATACAAGTTGCATGTGCATGAGAAATTTTTGACAATAAATTGGCGGCGTGCGTGAATATTAGGTTAGCCAGTTAGGGTGTGAGACTGAAAAAAAAGTTCTATTGATTTTTTAAGAACCACCCTAATGTGCATGCGTATACACTTGTATGTGAAAATATATTCAGGTAGATATACATAACTGCCTGAAATCATATACATACTATGTATATAGGTAAACTCGGATTATCACTCGTTCGCGAAAGAATGCATTTATTGTATTATGAAACCTTTTTTTTGGTCTTTCCGCCTAGATGCTCGTATTACACGGAATTTTTTTAATGATGCCATTCTTCCAGCATACGAGTGTTATATATGTGGCATTAGCCTGAGCGACAGTACTAATTTTGCAAACTAAATTGCTATTAAGCAACACTACTTAACGAATAAAGGAATAGAACTGGTATAATGATTTGACGAAAGGGACAAGACGTTAGAAGACGTACAAGAAAAAAAAAATTCATTCGCGTACTTGCGATCGAACGCGTCGTATGGACTACTTAGACGGGCTTCAACCCTATTAAGTTGTCGTAGTTATTAAGTAAAAATGTAAACGGTTAATGGGAATAAAGTTTGTTATTATACCTAAACATTAAAGGCGACTATAGTTCTGAAGAGCCATCACACATGTATTACATAAACAACGTGGCATGTTACTGCAGTCTTAAGGTCTCCAAAGGGCAACTTAACTTAACTTAACATAACTTAGAACTTATAAAATCAAAATAAAACAGACTTTGACGTGGCATTAAGTTACGTTAAGTTTCGCCTGTCCAAATATAAGCAACATGCATTTAAAAGAATTTTTAAGTGACAGCCTCTAAGTTACGTTAAGTGGCGATAATCAGATTTTAAGTAAAGCATCTGATAAACGATTGCCAGCTCAGATGTCTTTAAGTCATTAGTTCATCACTTTTCGAACAATCCTTCTAAACTTTGCGTCTACGCACTTGAATTTGAGCATTTATTTAAAATACAGTCCGTATGTTATTTAAGGGACTAACTTCATCCCCCAAAAAAACTGTGCACAAATCTCACTTAATTATACTCCAACGACCTCTACCTTCCTTTTGTCAGTCTAATCGCTTAATCTTATTTAGTGCTTTCATCTTCGATTCAGTTCCAATTGTTTTGCCAATACCAGATATGTTATGTACAAGTACATAAATTTCGTCCGCCACCCTCTGGCTTTCAAATCTTGTATCCAAAACGAGCATGCGCTGTGTGCAAAAATAGGTAAGGACGTGAAAGTCGATTAGTTTGGCAATGCTGATATTAATCTAAATGAAGCGAAAATTGAGCTGAGTGATTAAGAAGCTGTTGCCTATTGCAAAAGTAAAAAAAAAAATGATCCAAACGCATAAATAGCAAGGAAGTAAAGTAAAATTTTTTCATAAAATTTAATTTAACAGAAAAAATTATATCAGTCGTACAAGTAAGGAATATTGAAATGAATGATAAGTAAGAGTGGAATTGCCCTATTTATTCCCTTGGAGGTATGTGCATGCATATGTACATAGGTCGGTGAGTTTTGGCTAGGAAGAGTGTACCCATCACACAGGGAGTGAATATATGAAACAGTATGCCATTACTGAAATAACCCTGTGAACCCGACGGAGCTTGCGGGAGTGGGTACTTCCATTGCACCTTCATAGGCCTGGAAGTGGGCAAGCTCATACTTGGGTAATATTTTCTTGAAGAAGCTGTCACCAGATTGGAAAGTTATGTGACCTGAATGGGATACAAAGAGA